CTCCCCCACCCCTCCCCCTTCTTCTCATCCCCCTCCTTCCTCCTCCTCCCCCTTCCCCCTTCCCCTTTTCCCCCTCCTCCTCCCTTCCAATCCATCTTGGTCTCTTCCCCCTCCTCCTCCTTGGTGGCTTTATCTCCATATCAGGTGTGTGTTTGTGTGTGTGTGTGTGTGTGTGTGTGTGTGTGTGTCCGCGCGCGTGCGCGCACGCATGTGCACGCGCGCCCACGGGTGGGCACAGTGAACTGAAGAGCAGCCTCCCCAGTGCTGCTAAGGCACCTCATGGACCGATTGCAGAGCCCCGAATTGTTCTTTTAACTTGGGAAGGACAGTAGATTTCCTGGGCTTTGCATGTGTGGCTCTCGTGGCCAGGTTTCTCGTGATTCGAAGGTTCGACCGTGAGTGCTTTTGGCATCATTACACATGCTACTCCTGGGGCCTGGTCCGGACTCACAGGGCCCGGAACAAGACAGGCAGCCAGTGTGCTTGTGGCCAATTGGCGGCCCTCCCGAGGGGGCACGTTTCTGTGGAAGAGGAGAGCGTTGCCTCACTCACAGCTGTCCCCCCGCCAAGAAGGAGCAGAGGGCAGCCCTTCGAGGCGTGTGGGCTGCCGGTCTGCACCCTGGCTGGGTGCAGAGGTGGGCAGCCCCTCCACATGAGGATCTCCAGCGATGCTTGGGTGCCCGGCCTGGCCTACCTGGGGGCAGAGCCCCCACGGGTCCCTTTGAAAGTGTACCTTTCATGAATGTCATCTTGTTTATCAGGTTTTCAGGCTTTAATCTCTGTGGAATGAAGGAACATCAAAATTTACACAGGCATATTGATGTCCTAACCACAGATGCACTGCTCATCCTGGGCGCAGTGCTTGGGGAGCTGCGGAGGCAATGGCAGGTCACTTCTGATGTGCCAGGAAGGAGCACGCTGGGAACAGCTTTGCTGCCCGGTGGCAGGGGTCTCTATGCTCTGCTGTGTCTGGCATGTGGCCCTTTAAGTGAGGTGTTGCCATATGACTTCCTTTAGATGAAAAAGTGAGGAGAGATGCCCTGTCGCTTCCCCTAGAAGCATTTCAAAGCCCATGAGTCTCCAGACCTCTGTGGTACAAACCAGGGACTCAATCCCAGCCACCCAGCCTGTAATCGTCCCATCACCTGGGTTCCTGGCAGGCTGCAGTAAGCAGAGCCCCACTGACCAGCAGGAAGTGAGCCTAGGATAGCTTAAGACACCAAAAGTTGGGGACTTCCCTGGTGGTCTAGTGGGTAAGACTCCATGCTCCCAATGCAGCGGGCCTGGGTTCGATCCCTGGTGGGGGGGAGTAGATCCTGCATGCCAATCCCGCACGCCACAACAAAGATCCCAAGGGCCACAACTGAGACCCGGCGCAGCCTAAATAAATAAATATTTTAAAATAAACAATAAGACGTGGTCTTTTAAAAAAAAAAAAAAAAAAAAGACACCAAGATTTGAGGGTGTTTGTGCAGCACGGTCCAGCCACTCCTGGTCCAGGTTACCAGGTGTCTGAAAAGGTCTTAAGTAGGAAGGAAAAGAAAATCCCACAGAAAGGTTGTTCGGGACAGCAATTCAGCTGTGGCACCTCGGGGCCCTCTCTCCCCTTTTCCTGTCCTGCCCTTTATTCCACAGTGTGCGAACCAGAAGCCCCCAATGATGAAGCCAAGGGGAAGAATAGAGCAGGGAGTATGGAGCTGCCCTGGGACTACCTGGGGGCCTAGGGAGCACTCTGTGTGTGTGTGAGGGGTGGGGTGGGGCGTGTGGCCACGTGAAGCCATGTTGTCTGGTTTGACGTGCCTGTCCCGTTCTGTGTTGTCCCTGAACATCCGCGGACAGTGCCACACTCCACTGACAGCCCCTGAGCTTCGGAGGGCAAGGCAAGAGTGGTGGCCAAGGAGCCAGGCGAGGAGCTCAGCAGCGTTTGATTTCAAGACAATGAGGCTGCGGGGCACCAGCCCCAGGGAACTGCCAAGGCTCCTCTGGCCTCACAAGGGTCTGTCTGTGGCCCCAGAAGATAGCCAGGGCGGTGCAAGGCGTGGCCACCAGGCCGGGAGGGCCGTCTTCCTGGACTCTCACTTGACCCCAAGACGGGATGTCTGTTTCTTTTTGGTCTGGAAGTTAAGGGTTTTTTGTAAATTCGGTAAACATTTGAGCAGGGGAATTACAAAGGAGGGCGCGCCGGTGAGCGGAGACGCAGAGTTCCGCCGGTGCGTGTGCGCGCCCGCGGGTGAGAGTGGCCACGTGCGCGCGCGAGTGCCTCTGCCCAGGGAGACTCCTTTGTTCCAATCACACCAAGAGGTGTCCGTACAGAGCCCGCTTGCCAGATGGCCGCGCCCCGTCCCCGTGGCCGGCTGCGGGGAGCCCCTGGCCGGCCTCGGGAGCGTCCCCCCCGGTCCCCGTGCCCGCCTTGCGAATTTGGGAGGCGAGGCAGGGAGGACCAGCCGCGCTGCGTTGCGGTGACCGGCAGTAACCCCGCGCGGGGCGCCCTCGGCCGGGTCAACGACCGCGCTCGCCCGCTGCGGCCCGCGCAGCGCCGGCCCATCACCCTATCGCCTAGCAACGCCCACTCGCGCGCTGCCACTGGTCCAGCACGCACGCCCCCGGCCCCTGATTGGCTGCGGCTGCAGAGCGAGCCACGCCCCCGGCCGGCTTCGCTCGGCCCGGACGCCGGCCCTCCAGTCCTTACGCCCGGGGGTCCGTCCGGCCCCAAGTGTGGCCCCAGTATAACCCCCAGAGTGACCCAAGCAAGCCCCGTCCCGTTTCCACTGCGCGCCGTGCACACGTGGCCCCCGAAGCCCAGTGGGTCGGGGCGGCCCCGGGAGGCGTGGGGCGCGGAAGGGAAGTCGTGGGGCGGGGGTGACGCTGCGCCCCGCCCCAGCGCCCCCCGAGTCCCGGGGCCCCCAGCCCGGCGCCCCCCTGGCGCGCCCCCGCGCAGAGTCCCGGCGTCCGGCGGCGGCGCGCAGCATCACCCCACTGGCGGCGGCGCGCCTGGTCCCGGGGCGCAGCCCTGACGCTCATTGGCCTGGGCGGCGCAGCCAAGCTGTCAGCCCATGTGGCGTGTCCGCGCGGGGACGGCAGCGGTTAAATAGCGCCGGCGCGGGCCTAGAGGGAGCCAGAGAGACGGAAGCGGCCCGGCCTCCCCTCCGCCGCGCGCTCCATCCTCGCTCTCCCTCCGCCGCCCACGCCACCGCCCGCGCCCAGACCAGGTACGAGCGGCCAGGCCGGGCCGGGGTCGGGAGTTTGGTTGCCGGGGACCGGAGTCCTGGGGCCGAGCAGGGGCCGGGGCGGGGGTGGTGCGGTCAGGCTCGAGGGTGCGCCGCCGGCCCGCATCTTCCGGCCTTGGACGTGCGTCGTCCGGCGCGCCAGTGGCGAGGGGTAGCCCCGCACAGCCTGCCCTGGTCTCGGGGTCCGAGCCCCCGGTGTGGATGTTCGAGCCCCACGGGGCGCCCGAGGCCGGGCGGCGAAAGGCCCTCGCGGCATGCCCCAGGCTCGGCGGGGCAGGTGGGCGGATGGCGAGGGCCGGACGCCCAGGAGCGCCGCGAACAGCCATTTTGGTCTTGGGCTGGGCCGGGCGGCTGCGGACCCTCGAGGGCCTGTAGGAGCCCGGTGTGCGCCCAGCTCCGGCAGCCCACAAGGGCCTCGTTTCAGGCCGGGCCGCCGAGCCCCTCCATCCGCGGCGTCCCCCCACCTCCGGGTGCTGGATAGCAGAGTCTCAGCCGACCAGAGGGCCTAATAAGAAGGGAGGGTGGTGGGTGGAGGAGGCGCGGGGCCGGATGAGGACGGCTTCCCCACCACGTGGGCTCCGTTTGTAGCCCCCGAAGTTCTGGGGGGAGAGCGGCTCCTGCCCCGTACAGCCTCGCGGCGGCGCATGCGAGGCAGTGCGCTCCGCAGGGGTCTCCACCCCCTTGCCTAGTCCCGCCGGACTCCGCGTGAATAGCAAGTAGGGGGAGAACAGAGCGGGCGCTTTCTGGAGAAGCAACCTCCCCGGGAGCTGGTGCCTCTGGGCCGGCAAAGGGCTCTTTATTTAGCGCTGGGGGAGGGGGCTCCCTCTCTGCCGGGACAGCAGGGCGATCAGGGCACCCAAGGAAGACACTCTCTCCACTTGCTTGTGCTTTCCCTTGCTCAGAGAGACGCTGGAGGGCCGCTGGTTGGCGAGTCTAGCGGTCATTAGCGCCATGAGGCCCTGGAGCCTTGGTGGAAGTGTGCAGGATCGACCCTGGCCTTGCCCCCTTTCTCAGGGGCTGTACAGGAGCCCCCATCCTGGACCCACAGTCTCAGGGTAACCTAGGCTCCCTCGTTGGCGCCTTGGGAACCTGGGTCTGGGTGGCCGGGCAGGCTGCATGGAGGTTGGCAAGCAGGACTCTGAGACCTCAACCTGTGCAGGCGTGTGGGTCTGGGTAGCACTTGCCCGGCACCTGATCAGGAGTAGTTCTCCAGGTTGGAGCTCACTGGAGCAGCCATACAGGCTGGGTCTGTCCACTGTGGGGCAGGGACCAATTTTGCCCCAGAGCCCCACCAGGCCTTGGCACTCC